GGGGCTCTTTAGCTTGGAGAAACGACAACTGAGGGGCAATGTTCCCTCTAAGCTGTAGAGTCTTGTGAGCAAAAATTCTACTTTGTGAGCTACTGGCATTAAGGTTGTGAGCGAGCGATTTGGCTACCACATGAATTAGTTTGCTCTGGAGCCATCCTTCCGGAGCGAAGACAAAGACGTGTGAACCGGAGGCTAAGAAACTGTGATCTAGCTCACACTAACTCAGCTTAGAGGGAACAGTGCTGAGGGGTGACATGATTGAGGTTTATAAGATTATGCCTGGGATAGAGCAGGTTGAGAAAGAAGTCCTTTTCTCCCTTTCTCACAATACAAGAACTCATGGGCACTCAGGGAAATTGCTGAGCAGTCGGGTTAGAAATGGATAAAAGGAAGGACTTCTTCACCCAAGGAGTGATGAACACATGGGATTCACTGCCACAGGAGGTGGTGGCGGCTACAAGCATGGACGGCTTCAAAAGGTAATTAGATAAGCATCTGGAGCAGAGGTCCATCAGTGGCTATTAGCCACAAGGTATAGGTAGGAACTCTCAGTCTGAGGCAAGTGATGCTCTGTATTCTTAGTGCTTGGGGGGGTCAACAGTGGGAGGGCTTCTAGTGTCCTGGCCCCACGGCTGGACCTCCTGATGGCACCTGGTATTTTTGGCCACTGTTTGACAGTGTTGGATTAGATGGGCCATTGGCCTGATCCAAAATTGGCTTCTCTTATGTTCTCTGGAAATATATAATGTGCACGCACCCTCGTGGTACTTTGCCAGAAGTTTAACATACCTTCAATGGCAGGGCCATTTACATTAAGCATATGGGCCTTTAAATTCTGTTCATGTGACAATTTGGAGCAGTGACCAATAGATGGCGCCATTGCTATATTGTTCCAATGAACGGAGGGCTACTGGATATTTAAATGAGAAATCTGTGTTAAAAATAACAGGATGCACGCTTGGGGAAATAGCATGACGTTAATTAGTGTATGCCCGTCTGCATAGAGGCTATTGCTTCTCAGATTGCTGGAGACAGTACTTCCAGAGTAGTTCTATTGGTCTGCTGCAGCAAAAATAAAATTCAGTGACAGTATAGCAAATGTTAAAGACGGTAATATCAGGATACTGAATTTTTATTTTGCCTACATATTTATCTCCTCACAACAAGCCCTGAGAGGTAGGCCAAGCTAAGAGAGTGACTGGACCCACATCACCCAGTGAACCTCGCTGAGGAGGGATTTGAATTCAGGTCTCAGCTGTCCCAATCCGACATTTCTAAAATATTCTTCTTCAAACAGCCTCGGTGCCATGATAATCTGCTACTCCTGGGTAGAAAGAGGAGAGCGCAGACAGAGGAGGAGTTCAGTATTCGTTTTTCCTTTGAATGCTGACAGGAAGGTTTGGCCTACGGATCACAGGCTTCAGGTCATGCATCCTCTTCCATTTTAATCTCTCAACCCTAACCCTGTCCAAGGTCAGTGGCACGTTTTTTCTTAGCAGAATTCGCGGGACAGATTTACGTTCAAAGAGATCCCCTTCAGGTTCATTCTGGTAAACACGATTTCCTTTTCGAAGTCAAAATGCAACCTAGGAGTTAGACCAAGATGGGTAGCCATGCCGGTCTGTCTGTAGCAGGAGAAAAGAGCAAGAGACTGTCAACATTTGTGGCAGGGGAGGAGCTCCCAGGAGTCACGGCTCGCGTCTTCAGCTAGATCCAAGATGGGTTAACAACCACACAAAACCGGAGAAACAGCAAATATAAACAACCAGAATACCCTCTCATGCTCTACAAATCACACTTGAGACGACTTTCTTCTTATACAGTTCTACTTAGAACCATGAATGATACACGTAACAAACGGTTTTGCCACCAGGCATAAATGACATCCGCACCAGTTGAACAGCGACCTAATAGTCATTGAAGGTACAAGTCTCTCTTTCCTTGAAAGTACAAGTCTCTCTCCAGAATGTTGTGGTCACCGGCTCATGGTGCAGAGAAGAGTTTCCAAAAGAAAACACACAGTAGGCAGAATGGGCTCAAGACTAGCTGGAGCGCGAACCAAAGGACCAGTAAGAGCACGCCCAGGTTGCTTTGCCGTTTCTTAGGGCTACATCAGGCCACTTTTCTCAGTGATGGAGCTCACCCCCAGCTCTGGCAAGATTCAAAATGGCACAAAGTCTACACGTACGTTCCAAATAGCTCGGAGTCAGGCTCCAAGATGGGTAGCTGTATTAGTCTGTGGCAGCAGAAAAGAGCCAGAGTCCAAGAGTGCCTTCAAGACTAACACAGTTTGTGCCCGGGCAGGCGCTTTTGTGAGTCACTTCTTTGGATCAAGGTGGGTGGCCCTCTTAGTCTGTCTGTAGCAGCAGAAAGGAGAAAGAGTCCAGGAGCACCTGAAAGACTAACACAATCTGTGGCAGGGGAGGAGCTCTCATGAGCTTTCACAAAAACTCCTCCCAGCCACAAATTTTCTTAGTCTATAAGGAGCCCCTAAACGGTTACTCTTTTCAGAATGCAGCCCGTTTGCGAAAGGCGGCTGCCAAATAGTGGCCCGCCCCATGGACCAAGGCCGCCTGTTGCTTCCTGAGCATGAGAAATCCCTTGAATTGCAACTGAGCCAGCCATAAATGCAAGGAGAGGGCAGCGTCAGCTACCAGAAGTCTTCTGGACAGGGCCTGCAGTATTCAGAAGAGGGAGGCTGCTTGTTGCAATGGCAACGACTCCCCCGCCCAGCAGGGCTGCAGCAGGACTCAGCCTGTTTCACAACCGCAGCGCTGGCTGGCTGGCTTTATAACGACAGAGCCGAGCAGAAAGCGCCTCCCTGAAGGTTTCTCCTCCGCAGTCTTGCCAGCCAAGACGCGGGCACTCACCTTGGGGAGCCATGGCCCTTCTCATCCAGGAGCTCTTCCTCGTGGCCGCAGATTTAATGTTCGCTTCGGTGCTCTCCTGTGTCTTTTATGCGGTGGGCTGCCTCGTGGTCCCTGGCCTCATTGGCTATGTGGTCCTCCTCTCCTGTGGCCCTGGGGCCGTGAAGAAAGCCAAGAGGAACATCTCCAAGAGGAAGGAAGCTGTACTGAGCAGGACGTCTAACAGCTGGGCTGGACAGGCGGTTGGCAAAATCCTGGCCTTGGTTGGGTTAAGAGGGACGGCTCCGGGCCCATCAGAACTGGAACCCGTTCAGGAGGAGGAAGGCGCTTGGAACCTTAACGTGAACCAACTCCCAGCTGGTGAGAAGAAATGCCAGAAGGTCGTGAAGACTCTGACGGGCGGCCGTCTGTCTGGGACAGGTAGTTCCCTGGGCTGGGGCTCCCGCTTAAGGTGGCGTCTCTAATCTTACTGGCGGCCGGAGGCCTGGGCGGGCTGGCCGATGGCCACTCTGCTTGGCCTGGCCCTCGTCACTCTTTGCCCTTTAAGAATATTTTGTGATTTCTTCCTATTATGAACAAATGATTGTGCCCGGCTTAGAGGTTCAGAAACAGCGCTCAGAAAGGCCTTCACCAGTGTTCCCTCTAAGCTGAGTCAGTGTGAGCTGGCTCACAGTTTTTTAGCCTCCAGCTCACACATTTTTGTCTCAGCTCAGGAAGGGTGGCTCCAGAACAAACTAATTCATGCAGCAGCCAAATCGCTCGCTCACAACTTTAATGCCAGTAGCTCACAAAGTAGGATTCTTGCTCACAAGACTCCACAGCTTAGAGGGAGCATTGCACTTCTGCAAGGGGTGAGAATCCCAGACATGTTGGTCTTTAAGGCGGTGCTAAATTCCTGTTAAGTCCTGTGGCTACATACAGCCATTTATTCCAGCATGAATTTTTGCTCAGACTCAGAGTAGTTTATGGTGGAATGAATTTTGTTCATTCGTAAAGAGACTCTGGACTCCGGTTTTATTCTTCTAAAGGGCTACCATTTGGGACGTTGATTCCGGTGGGTCACTGTGCTGATCTGAGGCAGCAGGACAAGGTTGGGGTCCCGTGGGGGCACCTTCAAGACCAACAAAGTGTTATTCAAGGTAGAAGCTTTCGTTTGCAGGCACGTGTGTGTATCTGAAGAAGTGGGCGTGCACACCGAAGCTTCCACCTTGAATACACTTTGTTGGTCTTAAAAGGTGCCCCCGCTGGACTCAAAACTTTCTTCATTTGGGACATGTGTCCCCCCTTCATCATTTTCATTTTCATTTCATTTTATTTGTAAAATGTGACTCCGTTTCAATTAGTCATGAAGGCTATTCATTGTAGTGATTTAATTCGATTTTTGTTACCGTTTGTTTCAAATGCCACTGGTGTTCTCCACCCCCTCCAGTTGTTGTGGAGTCCTCCGGGATGGCATCCCCCCCCCCCCGGGGCCAGCCTGCCAAATCTGAGATAGGGAGAAAGCGCCTCCGTTTTATCAGCAGTGGAAAAGCCTCAATTGCCAGTTGGATGTGGAAGCTAGAAGCGCGGACTCTCATCTGGGAGTACCGGGTTTGAGTCTCCACTCTTCCACATCAGCTGCTGGTGTGTCCTTGGGTCAGTCACAAGTTCTCTCAGAGCTGTTCCCTCAGGAGCAGTTCTCGAAAGAGCTCTCTCAGCCCCACCTACCTCACCGGGTGTCTGTTGTGGGGAGGTGGAGGTAAAGGTGTTTGTAAGCTGCTCTGAGACTCCG